TCCTCAAAGAGAAGAAATTAAATTTGCATGCGCTTCTTGAAAGTTTCACGCGCGAATTCGTAGATAATAAATGCCCGAAATGCGCCGAATTAATTAAAATTATATTCCCACAAAAAGGGCCTTAACGCATTTGGCAGAAGTTTCCCCAGCGGGCGGGTGGATGGGCGGGGTAACAGCAGTGTGTATGTTTAAATTAGCTGGAGCACGAGACCGCGAGCAGGCGAGTTTTCGGCGCTTTTCTTACGCGTGCGGCGCCATCCGGGCGCATAATTGCTCCAACAATTACATAATGATTTTTTGATTGGCGAATAATCCCGACGGGCGCGGCATTTCGCTTCGTTTGCCCGCGCACATTGCATTATGGCGAGTTAACGAGCAACAATGCGAACAATCCGCAACCTCGCTGCTCTCATGATTTCGCCTCGAAAAACTTCCACCGGGGAATTCGCCTCAAATCTTTCCAAATTCAAAAAGTAACCATTACGAACGCCGCGCAGCATTCAGCGCTCCCCGGAGACGACAAACTTGTATTTGTGTTTTATCTAAGTGCCCTCGAGATTACCGCCCTGTGTGTGTGATTTTTTCTTCTTCTGTGGCTCACACAATAATGACGAGCGTTTATCTAGTTTTTAGCTAATATAGGTGACCTAAAAACGTCTGCATCGCGGAGGACACCAGCTCGCGAAGAGATCGAATCAGGTAGCATTGAGTGTTCGAGTGCCGCGGACGCGATAACATGCGCATTTCGCATTCGCCGGCTTTTCGGAAGACACCTGTCGATATCTGCGCCAGATCTTTCTCGCCGACGCAAATTTGAGGCCAACGCCGGAGCGAACTCTCAACCCCCGCGCGTTGCTGATACGCCTGAAATATTTCCACGAGTGATTTTATTCCGATCACGGAATGCGAACAGCGCTGATATTTCTATTTTAATGTACAAACATGTCAAGCGTATAACTGACGCTGAAATTGAACTGCATTTCGAATTATGCACGTCTATTTACGTATTTAATACGCATCAATAATTCTCACTGGCGTGGGTGCTCAATGGTAAAAGGCGCAATTAAAAATTAAGTTCTTAAATCAGCAGCCGGCGTAAACTTGTAAATTATGTGGCATGGTGGAGAGCTAGAAACGTAGGAAATTTTTGACGCGGCGTCATTACTTTGCGCGCTATCTTGATATCTTCGCGCGCTGCGAAGCGAAGTGAAAAAGTGAAAGAAAAAGCATGTTTCAAGTATGTATAACGTTGCTGACGTCGCATTTCTTTTCCCTCCGCATCGCATTTTCTTCGTTCGTACGTCGACAGCGGGCGCTCCTCCAATGTGCACCCTTCACAGCCTTCGCACCACATAGCGCATGTTGCAGGAAACGAGTGTAATGAATAAGCCAGGCTTGCACGCGACGCCGAAAAAAAAAACACCGAGTAGAAAAGAAAGAACGTTTTACCACTGGCTGGCCGGTGGCGCAAATCGCCTTCGGGCGTTTAATATTTAAAATATCCGCGCGATAAATTTCGTTAACTTTTTTTGCTGTAATAGTTTTCCGTGCGGCTAGCTGTCGACAACATACTGTAGGCGGGCGGGTTTTTGCCATCGGCGTTGGATAAATGCGACGTTACAGCCTAACACAAGGGGGGATTCAACACGTCTACTTTTTGCCCAACTTTTTGACATTTATAGTTGCACTGCCAGATTACATTTCACTTAAACGCCGGCGCGTTTGCCGCCCGGCCGGGCACCTTCCGCCACCCGCGGCCATCTTTCGCCCACCTTCCGCCGCCCGGGCTGTCGTAATGCGTGCGCGGCGGTGGATCAAGGGGTAGCTAATGCCACACCGGCGGCAGAGTGACTAATACATGTAAACTGCGCCACCTTTCGCACAACATTCTCGGCAAAAATCTCGCATTCATCTTTCCAGCGAATATTCGTGCTCAATTATTCGCGCAAGTTGAGGAGAATTTCTAAGAATCAATTTGTCGCCGCAAATGCATATCTCTCTCCTCGCGAGAAGTTAAAAGTTTTTGATCGAGGAGCACTCGCGTGCTCGCAGGAGCACATGAAGAATCTCTTTGTTACCTAGCAACAAAGAGATGCTCTTGCGTTGAAACGTATAATGTTCGTACGAATTTATAGCGCGCGCGAGCGCGGCTTTATGTTTTATTAGTTTTTGCCATAGTTTGCCGCATTTTTCATCACACAATATCGTTCCGGGCCGGCGGAAACTTTCCGCCCGAAAGATCACGCCGTGTGTGTTTTAGGTATTTATTGTTTAGTCGTGTTCGCATTGCGGAAAATACCCGATAAGGAGAGCGAGAGTTTCTTCCTCGACTTCGATTCGTATCGGCCCGAACAATTCCTACCAACTTAAAGTCCAGTTTCTGCCAGACCGGAGGTACGTGTGGCATACATGACGTACAACACAAGAAAGCGCGCGCCCGGAAAGAAACTATCGGTGTGTGTTGTTCGACGAGTGCGAGAACTGCGCCAAGTATTTCCTCGGCGGTGAATCTTTTTCATTTCGTTTCGTTCGACTACTTTCCGTTTAGGTTTCGCCACCCCCGGCCGGGCGGGCGTACGTGCGCGTCCGTCTAGTTCGTAGGTTGTTAGTCGTAAAAGATACTAAGTTACGGTTAAGTTAAAAGGACATCGAAAGAGCTTGTCTCGAAAGATAACGAGTTACTGAAAGAGTTACGGACGTCCGTGGAGGCCGAAGTGTTAGGCTGGTAATTTTCCTTGTTGGACAACCAACGAACGTGGGCAAAAATATTTCGCTCTTCAAGAGTATTTGCATTTCAAATGAGTTTTTTGCGGTGGGCACGCGCCGAGATGCGGAGTCAACAATAAGAAAACAAGATACACATCTCAAGCGACAAATTGTTTCGACGCCGATTTTAATTTCAACTTTTCCGACGTTTAAATTGATTTTCGATTAGAAAACGTCGGCGCATTCGTCTTAATCTTAAATCATTCAGTGGCCTAATCGATTCCTAATTGGAGATTTGCCCAAATCTTGCGCCAAGTTTCGATTAAATCAAGAAAATCCAGCGCCGCCATGAAATATGCGATTGCAGGTTCTCATTTTAAATAAGCTCCAAGCCTGGCATATAACACATAATCCTCGACTTGTAAAACTGAAGCAGAGCGAGCATCGAAGAAGCTGATTTGTCACAAGAACTTTAACTCAGATAAATTGCGAACAGTTGAAAATTGCGCGAACGCCGGGAATATGCGAGCGCCGTAAGTAACTTCGGCGTGCATTTGAATACGTCCTCAAAAATTTTCACGAATAATAACGCGAGCGGCGGTGGAAATTTGCGATGCAAAAAATGTCGACGAATCTTTTCGCGCGTATAAATTTCATCCATTCTTCTGGCAACGACATGCGTATCAAAACGTGCGCGCATCCGCCGCCGCCGCCGCCGAAAACCAGTTACGTATACGTACGTATATTACGGTGCCCGGCTATGCGTATAAGCGCATAACGAACGCGCGGGCGCGAAGAACGAAAAGAATAAGTCTCCTCGTCGTCCTTGAGCAGCAGCACTGGTGGCGCTGGAGGTCCATGGTGGAATGGGCGTCGTTGTGATGTTTTCGCCGTCCTGAATATTTCGACTGCAACCTGGCATTTCGCATTCCTCGCGCGAGAATTCCGCCGCCACATTTTCGCTTCCAGCATCTTTATCGCATCACGCTCAGGAAATTCTTCACCGAAAAACGCGCGCGCCAGCTTTTTCCGCGATGCCGAGTTTAATGAACACGACAGAACAAATCCGACGATCATGTCAGTGTCGTCAGTGTTTCATTAAACAGACAAACTGGAAAAAAGCGCGCGACGCGCCGGTAACGAGCCAAAGAGATTTTAACGAATCCGGACGAGATTCTGATAGAAATTTTACGACGCACGTGTACTCGTTAATAGCACACGCCGGTAATAGCTCATCGACGCCGAGTTCATAAATTCATTTCATATGTGTTTGCGTTTTATAGTAAACAATAAACATTTATGAACTATAAATTCATTTTATGTTTATAGTTTTATCAGTGTTGTGTTGTGTTTTTTTATTCTTCTTCTTCTACTGCTGCGCTGTGTTGTCATTTTATTTTTCTGCCGCGTTGCGCTGGATAAGATCACGAGGACTGATATTAAATATTCGCGCATTTATTAGTTGCGCGTAGTTAGTGTCACGACCGGAATGAGAGTCTGATCTTTCGCGGTTGCTGCGAGCGCGCTGGCTGCGCGGCCGCAGGAAACTGGGGAGAAAATGAGAAAATACGAAAACAACTTCTGCGTCCGGCATCTCTTGTCAACGACACATTCCATTACAATGGAAGGAACAAACTTATGATACAAGTATTTACTTCTATGCGGCAACATTTGCGCAGTTAAACACAATTAGGTAACAGTTTAGTTTCGAAACAAAAAAAAAACCTTTTCGGAATTAAATATCTGCAACCACGAACCCTTCATCAGGCGGGCAGCTTTCCGGGATCAAATCTAATCTAAACTGGAAGGAATTGCGCAGATATCCTCCACCCTCGCGCCGGTACACATTTTCCCGATCCACCATAGATAAGATAGTAAGTGCTTGGCTGCTTTATGGAGAGTACAATTGATTTTCTGCATTTCTTTCTTTCCTCACCGTTAACTCACTCGGGTAAAGCGAGTTTTTTGTTACGGTTACGGCATGGACGACGAGCTAATTTACCTTTTTCGAAAACTGTCCACTTTTCCGCCACTTTTTTGCGCCGCTGGTCCTCTCGTTAGGGAAGGAAGCAAGGTGGCGCGCCGCCGTCGGCATCGGTCGGCCGAGCAGCTGAAAGTGCGCCGGCAGCGCGGCGGTGGCGGCTGCAGAGGCGGCGGCAGCAACGGGCGCCTCGCACGCATGACGCGAGCGCCCGCCGTCGCGCCGGCACCCGACATGATAACCGCCAGAGTCCATGCAAAATCGCGCCGAGTGCGACGAAGACGGATGCGCGCCGCCCCCGGATCGCGCTTCGACGTTTTCAGTTGATCCGAAGCCGTGACGGCGTGCATGTTACACTTGCCACTTCAGTGTAAGTGACGATACGCGGCCGAGAGCGCGCGGATTTCGCCACCGCGCTTCGCCAAATTCGACCACCACCACCACCACCAGTAAAAAACCGACGACGAATTCAATCGGAAGTTAACTGAATGTCTATCAAAATGCAAACGAAGCCAAAAACGCCAATGTGAATCATCTTACCGCGTGTTTAAAACTCAACTTTTTCCCCAGTGCTCTCTCTCAACCCTTTAAATTGAAAACTTCACCGCGAAACTGCGCTAAACTGCAATTTTAATTTAGTTTCGTGTCGCTTGAATGCTTGTGCAGTGTGTTCCGCCTGGTTTACTCCCGCTTTGGTGGGCCTGAACGCCGCCGCACGGCGACGGAACTAATAAAAGTGCATCGTTAAAACACAAGCCGCAAAATATAGTTGCGCTTAAAGTTTTTTAATTAAAACGTGTAAGTATGCAGCCGTTGTGTAATTGTTGCTTTTGTGGTGCGGTTGTCACATTGATTGGACTGCTCGTTTGTCGGCGAATCATTTTTGAAGTTGCGCTTTCATTAGTGGCGGGCGCGCTCGGTGCGACGATTGCCGCCGGAAAGTGGTGCGCAACCAACAAGTTAACTTCCGCGCGCGCGGGCGGCGAAACGCGTTTATTCATGTGGAATGCAGGCAAAAATAGCGCAAATATCAATGCCAATATTGCAATTTGGCATTGTTTCAATTCTCGCCAATATTTCCCACTAAAACGCGAATAACACAAACGTTTCGCATACTTTCTGCAATAAATTCACTCAACTGACACAGTTTTTCATTGATTACTCCTAAACCAATTAACTTAAAACCATGATTTATTCACCAATCGATTAAATATTTAATTCTCAATCTAATTATGTTAATATTTCATTGGTAACTAATTGAACAAAAAAGTTGCGGGCATATTTTAATCAACTTTGCAAGTTTTTACATAAGTCAACTTTAATTGGCTATAACTTCTTACAAAATACTTCGTTTAACGAAACTTTTCTCATTTAGATACAGAATTAAACACAGAATACACTCCTGAAAGAATTCTACGAATCGCGCAAGTAGTTTTTGAGTTATTCATGAATAACTAAAACATTTCTCGCGATATATAATAGAACAGTGATTATTAGTTCGATAATTGTAGTTAATAGTTAATAACTTTTAAAGCAATTAACCTATATTAATAATTTATGATGAAATATATTCCGTATTAAATTCTGGACGTAACTTTGTAAGGATTTAATTGAAACGGCCACATATCAAAAGTTGCAGACAAATTTACGTCGATTTAAAGAGTTTCCATAAACTCCACTTTAATTGTTGATAACTTTCAATGCATTTAATTAACCAAACAAACTTTTATCAAGTTAAATGTGAAATTTAATACAGATTATTTTTATCATCATAAATGAAACTTGCGCTGTTTTCAATTAAAATTATTAATTAAAAACTATAACGTATTATTCACACGTCAAGTTAAATATTCCATACAACTCATAGGAAAATGAGTAGTTTTGACTGGAAGCCCGCGTTCTTTGTTGTCTTTACATTCCATAATAACAAGTCTCCTATGACAATATAACGAGCCAACATCGCCGACGCTAAAAACCCCCAAGACACAATATTTGTTCTTCATCATGAAGCGAATATAATGTTTGTATTTCTATTATTGTGTTTGCCTTTTATTCCATCTTATCTCATCGTAAATATTTAAGTTTCTCGTCGAATGCGCGACGAATTCCGTGAATTAAAACAAAACCCCGGCGAGTGGCGAATTTTTTGTTTTGTTTCTGCTTTATTTTAATGCTGGCGAAACTCTTGTAACGAGTTTCCGTTGCGCACAAAAGAATGGTGGCACTCGTCCGCAGTCAGAAAAAGTTTACAAGATAAAAAATTAGTAAGTATTTTCACTCGAGGCCAATTTCGCGAAACTCGGATTACCAGCTCGGCGCATTTGTCCATTTTATTGTCCTGGCAACAATAGTCGTGGATACTACTCGTAATAACTCCATCATCAACATCAACGTTTTTCCTAGCCTCGGGGTTTTCTTCCACTCGAAAAATACGTTGGGAAGCAGACGCCGATAAAAACGAAACGATCGAGCGAAAATAAGACTCAAACGCCGACTATTTATATTCGTCACTGTCCTAATCAACAGTTTGCTCCTTGACGTTTCCTTTCTATTAGAGAACCCGGCGTGCGCGCCTCTCAGCAAAACGGCCCGCTGCGTTCGAGTAAAGTAAAGTTCACTTTGTAGTTTGAACGTGTTTATCACATTAAATATCAAGCCGCGCACTTTTATCTTCCAGTCGTTTTCAACTGCCACACTTTCTGAGATTCTCAATGAACAGTAATAAGGACGCAGAGGGGAAAAAAATCATAACCGAAACAAGGAAATGCTCTTCCTTTCGCGGCGCAAAACTAACAAGCGCTAGTTGTATTCATCATTCATCTTAATCAAACCAGCATCAGATCGCGTCGCGGCTTCTTATTTTCCGCGCAGTAAAACAAAGCAGATGCAGCACTGCTCGGATGTTTACTCCGGCATCCTGCATCCTGCGTTTTCCGCGCACCGAAGCATATTAGATAACTCAAAACGCGCGCTCGTGGAATGTAAAACGTTATTCGCGTATTCCCCTCGGAGGGCAACTGGAATGCCTGAACGCTCGCCCGTAATTAATACAATAACGAATGCATGCGATTTTCATGCTTGACCTTTCGCATTACGTATTAATCTAAATTTTTCACGTGAATTATTTATGGCCCGCTCGAGCATGCGATTGACATCCCACTCGGCGCTTTGTTCAGCAGGGCGGGAAGGAGAGGGAATAATTTGCGCCCATGCTGTGATTAGGTTTTTCTTTTCGCAGCATGATTGAAATATGAATGAGTTTAATTATGTAGCCGGCGCATATAAATAAAAAAATCGATGGCGATTGTAGAAATAAAAGCACGAATCATATTTATAGAGCCCTTCGGGGGTGGACGCGCGCGTCGAATAGCAATCATTAAAAGCAACAAATACAAACACTGGTAATGGAACATCCAGACTACTCAAATACCAATTAAATCGCGCTTTATTTCATGTACGCGTATGTTTTGTATATCGTAACATTGTTAATGGTATTGTTATTGAAAATTAATTAAAGAAGGCAACTCGCATTTTAAATGATAACGAGCAAAAAACAAAACGAAAAAAAAAAAAGAAATGACGGATAATTATAATCCAACAAGTACAAAAATAGAAAAAGTCGAGTTCCGTCCGCCCACGCAAAACTCCACATTTAGGACATAGTTGTGCAATTTTTATCATGACCAGTTGGAAACATTTCCGCTCCCGGGCGCGGGCCAAGGCACCGCGATCTAAAAATATTCGGTTGAAGGGATCTCTCCTAGGTATACGCGCACATACATGTTAATGAGTTTATATCCGACCTCCTCCAGCGGGGCGGCAACGTCGGCGGCAAGTAGGGCGCGCACAACTCATGACAAAGGTTCGAGACTTGAGTGACAGGTTCATGCAGCCTCAGACATGGTGCGGCGGCGGTGGTTTTGTATATTTTTTTTTTCTGCTGCGAAAACTCGCGTTTCCTGATTAACTCAATGTTTCCTTAAATTCGCGTAATTAGAAAATGCGCGGTGGTTTATTTCGGGATTATTGACACTCGCCGCGCAAGCAGAAACCCAAAACCTAAACCAGCGGATGAATTATTAACCATGTGAGAGATGAAAGAAATATTTCATTTATTTTCGCATTACTCTCGCGCTCACCAGACATGAAATATGAACATTAAAGAGTAGAACGGGAGGAAATTCGGCGATAGTTTGGCCCAGCATGCGCAAATAAATAATTCACGGTGTTCACGTGCAAGTGTACGCCTAATGTAATTAAAGATGAGAATTTCCAGAGCAGGCAGAGCAGAAATAAAACGCTGTTGAAATACTCCGGAGCGGATTGACCGCCGCGCGTGGATGGAAAATCAATGCGTTGAACAGTTAATTAAAATTGAACGCTAAGTGCGAATGTTAATAAAGTATCAGGTTCGGTTAATGCGACGCCTCTTCGTTACGCGATCAGCCGCTGCTCAACGTGCGCGGTTCAGTTTTAAACTATCGATTCGCGCTATCGATACACTACATGTCGCCGATAATACACTTAGCGAAGTTGCGCGCTGCCTCGATTCTAATAATATCATCGGGCGCTGCCAAATTTAGACCAGATTTACAATTTACTAACGAAACACAATTATTCGCATGCGGCGGCGAGAAAATTCAATTTTTTCCCACCCAGCCATCAAAAATAAATTTCTGGCATGAGATTTATCAAAATCAAAATCTCCGGGTGCAATATGCGAATTGTACGAATGTAATTTGCAGAGTAAATAAATAATCAGAGCGCATACAAAGCGCAGTCGTCCCCAAAACAAATAATTAACCAAAATTGCGAATTCAACGCGCTGTGTTTACATGTACTGCTATTACTCACACACGCGTTGTTTTTACTTCACTTTCCCCTGGAAATGTGGGAAATTCTACGGCCGCCAAGGGTGGCACACAACACTTTCGCACGTTGTACATGTCTTCAGATAAGCGCAATAAAATGCGCGCTGCACATACGGGAATAAAAATACATAGTTTCATTCGTGGTCGATTACCGTGCGCCAACCTCACGCATATACTTACAAAACAAAAATTATTCAGTTTAGTCCTCTGTGGTTGTTTTTCGCGGCGCAATTTCCATCATCATTGCGCGCCGGGCCCGCAAATAGAAACGCGTGGGTTTGTTTTTTCAAGAATTATTACCTCGGTCTCGGCGGCTGAAAACAAACAGCAGTTTGCTATCTGCCATCATAAATATTTACTCGCCATGTCCTATTTGAACCACCCTCGCATTCGGCGTGCGGAACTGACACAGATACAAGGATTCCATTTGCTTGCGCCGAACGAAACGAAATAAAGCGAAGCTGCTGTTGCTGCTGCTGGTACCTACACCTACTAAAAATGCCATTCTTGCGTCGTTCATAAAACATAATTAATACAGTCGCGCGATGGCATTCGCGTCCTTGGCGTATTCACGTTTAATCCACTCATTTATAACAATGAGCTAAGTTATTACGGAGTGAAACGCCGTCGAGACAACTCTATACAAACGTAATGTTCACACTTTACGTGCCGAAAATGTTTTATTCTACATTCGGGGACGGCGGCGGCGGCTGGGGTGATGGGCGTGTGTATGCCGGGGATTCATTTGATCTGGAATTTGATTATTTTTGTTTGCGTTACAGCGAAAAATACGCCAAATAAAAACAATGTAATTTCGAGTGTCTTTCTGCGTTGTGTAAATAAATTTCGCTCATATTTCATTTAAATTAAACTAAAACATCGCCCACTGATTCATTCGGTTCATTAATCTGTTCGCTACGTTTATAAAACAAACCGAAATGCATCGCTGGGGGCGGCGAATGCATCCAATATTTTTATTGCATGATTGCAAATTGCTTTCGCACTAAAACGTTAAACTGGTTTGCGCCGAAACAACATTTCTCAATTTAGTATCCACGAGTGAAAAAAAAAACAACAAAATTGTTAAAATGACAAATTAGTTGCGTGTTGGAAAAATTGCGAAACAAATAAAAGCGCGCAATATGAAGTTTACGCCGGTTGAGATTCCGAGCAGTCTAATATGTTCCGCACAAAGGTGCAATAATACAGAAGGCGGCGTTGTTTAGCGATGCGCCGCCTCCGCTGTGTGCTCATCTCGCCGGCATTGTCCTCCTGCGCGTCGCCGGCGCGCAAATTTTTATTAGAATTACAAGCTTCGTGAATAATTTATCTCGGCGGGAATAAAGCTGTTTGTTTTGAGCGCCGCGGCATTCGGAATTTTTCCTGTTTGTCGCCGCCGCGACGCGCATAATCTTGGCAAATAAAATAACGTTGTTTATTTATGTGGTGTAAACATCTCTCCTCAAACCGAACAAATTTCAGGTGGTGCATTCAACCGCGCGACCAACCAGCTACGACGACGACGACCGGCGAAGATAAATAAAATGTATATTCTCCGGCGAGGATTTCTCTACTTGCTCCTGCTGCTAGGTAAGCAAACCGAGTTTATTTACATCGCGAGGGCAAGGTATAAGCGGTGTGTCACACGCGTGCGGCCGCAGTCACAGGCATAATATCCTAGTTTCTTGCAATTTCAACAAAAATTTATTCGCCGTGCTAGAACTACGCGCGCCGAGTAATCTAATACCCACATCTTTAGCGCGAGCGCATATTTCCGAGCGTTGCGCTAAACATTTAAGATTATATAAGATGTAATACACTTATACCTGTTTGCCAGCGCGCTGGCGTTTCGCCGTAAAATACGACGGAAACTCGAGCTTCTCTCCGCTCGCATATTTTCTTACCCACATCGTGCAGCAGTGAACAAAGCTCCTCGTGCTTGAAGGGGGAGCGAATGACTTGTAGATTGTTGCGCGCGACGTGCGCTTAAGAAATTTCGGCGAACTGTGCTCTGGAATGTCGCTAGTCGACAGTGAACACATCAAACAATACCTACGGAATCGTAAAAACAGAGGTATACGAAGGAGATGAACTCCTAGTTTACAACCAGCGGATTTTTCTTTATTTTTCTTCTAGGAAGCAAAAATATTTTTTGTTTCGCTGAACAGGAAAATATTGCGATGAACAGCGTTAATCACCCGCGGGTGTTTTTGTTGTTTTGTCGTTCTGGAATGGTTTATTGTTTAATTAAACTTCACCTTCTTCATATGAAATACCGGCCGGATTAAAAACTTGCTGCACACGCCGGTTATTGTTATTAATTATTTGTAGCGACACGCAACTTGTTAAAAAGCATTAGGGAAGGCATTAGAAGGACAAAAAGCCAGCGCGCCACAAGTTGGAAGCCGTATTAGGGCGAAAACCCTCAAAACGAGCGCGTGGCCCCCATTTCGTCCTTGCCGCCGACTCCCGGATGGCATACGTCCCGAATCGCGCAGAAAATTCGCGCCCGTCTCGCCAGCCGCGCCGAAGTAATTACTAACACCTGGGGCGACATGCACACCAGCTGCTTTTAATTAATAATCAATTCGAATAAATTTCGCAGAAATATTACGCGCGTATCTATGACACATTTACAATGCCACCGCAAACTTGCGTCCTACGCGGTTCTAATTGCAGCAGCGCCTGCGGGTTGTTTAGTCGTTGTTTTGTTTTGTTTTGCTGTGTTTTTAATTTTTGTTTTCTTTCGGTTTTGTTTCAAGCGCGATTGCGATAACACTTGGAAACTTCAATTCCGGGCATTGTTTGCGCACAAGCGCGGTGGAAAATAGGTCCTCGTCGCCGCTTTTGTGGCGGCTAAGTTGTTGTTCTTGTCGCGCGGACAAACGAAAAATACGAGACATTCTTCGTCGCGGGCGTTTCCGGGCCTCTTTGTTGCGGGCATGTCGAATGCTCACATGTTTGCACGCCACCCCCAGGCGTCGTGCGCTGCGGTTTTCACTTTATTGGAAAACACACGTACGTGCATCGGGCGTGCACACGTAAAAACAGGATAAGATCAACAGCGCAACACATAGTCGAATTCCATCAGGTCGCGAAGTAGTCACCCGCCCCCGCTGGGGCTGTGGTGGTACTTATGTGTCATACAGTCAGGCGCGTTTTTCTCTCCCACACATTGCAAATCAACAAATTGCCAGCACGATCCAAGCGAGTTGGGAGTAAATTCACAATCGAATGTGTCGAAAAATCGAAAACAATCGAAAAATAGAACAGCATAGACCGACCGATGGAACAACACTGTCCAACGTGTATGTCACGACTCGACTTCACTCAACAATGACACGTTCAGCGACTATTTAGACTCGTTCCGGGAGTGTTATTGGAAAAAACACGAGAAACAAGCCAACAAACGAAGGAGCGAACAAATGTGTTACCATTTTATAATAGAAATAAAACGAGAAATAGAAACAGCCAGCCGAACCGGAACATATATTTCGACTTGCCGGCTTGCCTCTTCCAATAGGTTTTCCACGACACGCTTTTGCAACCCGAGATATAACCGAGTTATTTATATTATTATGTTGGAAATATTTACGTCGTAGCATTTCGCATTTATGTAGCAAATTTCTAGTCGAAGATTAATTGTTTGACATGATTCATTGATTCGCGCATTAATCCCGAGCGAAATTCGTGCATATTCACGACATTTGTGTCAATATATTTGTGGCACGAGGAGCCATTAGCAGATGTCATGCTAATCTCGTAGAAATCCGCCGTCGAACGCATTCAAACGCGTGTTTATGAATCGCCTGACACCGCACGGCGCTATTAATTACAGCGCGGCATCAAAGCCAAACGTTGCCGGCCGCGCAACTATTTGTCAACTATTCAATTAGCCCACAAACGTCGCGTATTTTTCTTTTTCGCGTAACAAGCTTTATTGGGTCGCCCTATGTTAATGATCGACTTGGATTAACTGAATTAACGAATTTGTAGCGCTATTTTAGACAATTTTGTAGAAAAACGCTTGTAAAAGCTTGAGTTTTCAATGTTTTTGCAAATTTCAAAGTTATAATGAAAATATTTGAGTTTTTTATTAATTAGTGAAAGAATTATTTAATTATAACAAACCGTTGATTTTTTATTGATTTTTAAAGGTCACGATATTTTTATGAACAGAAAACTGACATATTTTTAGTTTTTTGTTAATAACTTTGAAAGTTTTCTGATTTAAACAAATTTCTTTACGGTTATTGATAGTCTATTAAATTATCTGTCAATATATGAAATCAAATATAAAATCGTAGTTTTGGTTGATTTACTATGAATTTTTAAAGTTGAAAAAAAAAATTGCAAATGTAGATGAATATAATAACTAGTGTCGCTCGGGCCTATACAATTTAAATTGACATTCACGACAATACTTATGATACTTCTTTAATTTTGAATTATCATACACTTGCGTATTATTTTCTGCGTGTAATTTATGTGAAAACTCTGTAATGTGCCTTGCTCGCAACCCTGAATATCATAAAATATCGTGATACATAAAAGAAAGGAAAAATACAGTGCGAATGAAGGAACACGCTCGGGTCCGCGCCGAGGGACTTTATTGAATTGCCGAAATAAAACTGAAAACGTCGCGATCGCGCCCGCCGCATTACATAACGGTATAACGGATGAAACAAGATGAAAACGTTTGCGAAAGGCGGCGCGGACGCGGCGCGCAAGATCGCCGGGCGTGCGTATGAGTCGAATAAATGAAACGGCAGAAAGGCAGCAGCAGGAACACGAAGAAGAAAAAAATATATAACGAAACGAAACAACGTCGGCGGCGCACTCGGGAGATTGTTGAATGAGTTCGATTAGTCCCTGACTGAATGGGAAGAATCGGCGGGGCCCGCATGTCGAATTGTTTCAATTGCTTCAATTGCTCGTATTCATTGGCAAATTAGACGGAAACTTGAAGAGGAAATTGATTGTTTCCACTTTTGTGATCGGCGCACAATCGCATATTTGATTTGGCGTATTCTTCCTGTCCGCCGCCCGAAATCCCAGCGATTTTAATCTTAATTGCTTGATTATTAATGATATCCGGGATTGATTAATGGCGTCAATCAAATCACTCCGGCTCAATGGGCTGGTGACCAATACGCTCGAGTGGAAATAATTCGGAGTTAGAAACTTCATCACACAAGAAGCGAGTTATGAGCACGTAAAGGGAAAATCAGTGCAAAAATCCTATGTTCGACACTTATACCGCAACTCAAAGCATTGGACAATTTTTTCTTTTCGAAAATTCACGTTGTTACAATTGTAAACCCGTACTAATTGATTAACGATAGGATAATGCGCGCAAATCTTTATTGAAACGCCCGTTCGAATAAAGTCCGACCAAAGTTTGGCCCCCGGACGGGTGTGCCGGCGGGCGATTGTAGTTTCATTGTGATATAAAGTGCAATTTGAGATGTAGCTACAATGGGAAATGTGCAATTCCATTGTACTTACAATCCGAGCATGTTGTGTAACGACACAACGCTAATGGCGCACATTTACAGCTCGCATTTACTTAAGTGCTTTCAATTTTCGCTGCGAGCATGCGCGTTGTAATCCAGCGCGCGACTAATTCGTTTACTCGCGCCGGGAAATTCGATCGGCGTAATCATCCGAGAGTCTTTGTGGAAGAAAATCCGCGGTGCGTACTCGTACTATGAATGTACTCATCGGGGATTTTTGCGTCGCTGTGTAATAGCACTAACAATAGCCCACTACTCGCGTAACAATGAACAACAACACCTAATGACTTTTTTACTGGCTGTTTTCGAAGCACCGTACTCCATTACACGCGATATATCCAAAGGGCTTTCGTGAGTCGTTGTGTACTTCCGTTTGCTTGTTTATGCTCTTATGCGTTTTCCTTCCGCGGGCAGTTATGCGTTTCCTCCTCCACGCCCCAATATTCCGTTTCGCTTGTTAATGATGTCTTGATTTCTCGCAGGGCTGCTGTTTTTCCCTCCCCGCCCCATTATAACAACATGCTAACTCTATTAACGAATTGTTTGATGTCGAACCAAAAGCAGCTATTTCCATCCGAACGTTTTCATTTTGCCTTTTAGCCGCAGCGCGCTTAATTGGAAACATTGAGAGCATAATTGTTTGAAACTTTCATTAGTCAATAGTGTAATTAAATATTTAATTGGCGTGCTCGTGGCGATTTGATGGCGCAAGCAAGCGGCTGACACGACGTCAACGCCTCGGATGCTTATGATTGCATAAAAACGCAATGGCGATGAGAAATCGATGGCAATAAACAATGCTTGTGGGGCGTAATAATAATTTCCACGGATCCATCAAGCCGCGAACGTTAAAAAATTTATCACCGCGCCGAATGCGGGCCAAAATGCAATTAAGCTGATGGCCGAATTCAGTCGAATGCAGGACGAATTGTTTTCGATCGGAATTTATGCGCGGCCGGGACGTAATAATTCAATGTCAATGCGAGTTATTGAAAATTAAAAATTAAGAATCAATATAGTAATAATAAAAATCAAAAAAATTGACAGGATTGTGCTGTGTTAATGATCAACTTGTATTTAAATTTAAATTTTACGGCATTTTTGTAGAAAAACGCTTGTAAAAGCTGTAATTTTTAATATTTTTGCAAATTTCTTGCTTGGTATGAAAATATATGAGTTTTTCTCCCTAATAGTGAAAGAATTATTTAATTATGTCAAACCGTTAATTTTTTATTGATTTTTAAAAATCGCGATATTTTTATGAACAAAAAACTGAAACATTTTTAGTTTTTTATTAATAACTTTTCAAGTTTTTGGATTTAAAGAAATATCTTTACTGTTATTGATAGTCTATTAAATTATCTTTAAATATATAAAAGAAAATGTAAAATCGTAGCTTTGGTTGATTTATTATGAATTTTTAAATTTGAAAAACCATGCAGGACTAATTGTTTTCGATCAAAATTTATGTGCGTTTCCCTAAAAATTCAATATCAATGCGAGTTTTTAAAAATTAAAAATGAAAAATCAATGATACTAACAAAAATCTTCAACTTTTGCAGGCTCATGCTGTTTGGCGAACATCGATCGCCTGGAATTGGTAATGCCCAGGTATGCAGTGCGCGGCGGCGATGTCCTGCTCAAATGCGAGCACAGCGTCACCCCGGAGGAATTATACAAAGTCGAGTGGCAGAAGGCCGGCACAAAGATCTTCCAATACATTAAGGACCGCAAGCCGCCGTACCGATACTTTCCAATGGACGGCGCCGAGCTGAACGTAAGTTCCATATCGCATAGGCGGCGTGCTTCCGGTGAAGTCCGCCAACTGCTCCTTTGCCGGGCGGCGTATTCAATGCGCGCTACCCCAATGCACCCGCTCGCCCATTCGGGGTACATGGGACACTGGACACAATGCACGGATGGCGCATTGTGCACAAAGTATACATTGTGTATACATCGTGTGCAAACATGCGCCAGCTGTGATTGTGATTCGGATAAGTTCAACTTTCTCGCGCGCGAGCCAAACTTGCGCTTGCTTTAATTAACTTCGCCACCCGGGTTTTTTTGAGTTTTCATTAGGAAATTTAATCTCTTGCGAGCTCTTCGACTGAGGTTGCATTCGGGCTGGAATTTGATATCGAGTTTTTTTATATCTCCACGAATCTTTTGACGATTTGTACTTTTACTTTGGGTAACAGTTCTGAACCGCATCGAAACTGGCAAAAGAAGCAAGAAGAAAACTACAACGAAGCACAAAAAAACAACTCTGGCGATTTTATGATTTAAATAAAATTGTAATGCATGAATCAGTCACTCAGTGTACGTACGTATGCATAAAGACACATTTTTGCCGTTGCTTTTATTTCCATTTTAAGGGGGCGAGATTTGTGGAGATATAAAGTCGAATCGTGACCCCGTCTTTCGTTTTTTCTTTTCGTAAATGTGTCTATCTCGTTATTGACATGTGACTGAGCGAATTTCGAATTTAAAGCCAGGCGCACAAAACATGACGAAGTGGAACGGCGAGGGATACGAACACGCCAGGCGCTGGAGAACGGGGCACACAGCTTGTGAGACGCGTGTGAATAAGTTAAACGCCGCTTGGAACACAAAAAGCCGCCCGAAAATGCATGCAATCAATTTTCCGGGTCCTCCACCCACACACAAACATACACACATAGAGACAGAGAGAGAGTGTCATGCATGTTGACATAAAATCGCACTCAGGCGAAATGAAACACTATGTGGGTGGAGGCGCGCGTTTGTGTGTGACTAGGTGAGTTGGCCCTCCAGTTTATTACCTAACTCTTGATTAATAATTGATGCGCGCGTGAGTGGAGATATAGCAAAAATTCGATCTCGGATTCCGAATGTGTGTATATACATATATCGGTAGTGTGTTGATTTATTCACGCCGGCTGCACACGCCGGGCAATGATTATTATATTATCGGTCTCGGATTTCAGAAGGCAAACAGCAGCGCGAAGCAGCTCCATCTGACTCGGCTGACGTTCGCCGCCGGTGGGTCGTATTCGTGCGTCGTTTCGATGGAGACGCCGATTTTCAGCAAGGACTCCGAGAGTCAAACGCTCACGATAATTGGTAAATATATTAACATGTGTGCGAGCGTTCTGTTTGCATGAAACGCTCGGATATTCCTCGTGTTTGATTTGACGATTAACGTGCGCGTGATAAAAAAAAACACACGAAAAATGAAAAAAAAAAACAATTTAAGAACACACAAAGCTATTAGACTCAACTCAATTTGTTCCGTGGGTGGCATCGCGTATGCGGAAACCGATACCAGCAACTTCGCGCATCCAACACGTACGCGACATGCAAATATCTCGGAATGAATAAGTTGAAGTTGCAAATATCGATTTGTACTCTCGGAACTTTAGTGGAGCAAACAACGTTGATATATTCGGCGTACACACACACACACATACATGAGTGTATTATATTCGCGACCGAACACACACGCCGCCCCCGAATGGGCAAAATCCTAGTAAATTCAAACGTCACAAGTGATCAGAAATTCCTTATCTGTTACCCATTGTGTATACACGGACGTTACGCGCAGATAGGAAGACGGTGGCCGCCCCCGCACGTGAATAAGTATTCCCACCGGCGGGGGGAGCAAGTTTCAAAGCATCCGAAATACCTCGCATCGCAAAAATCAATATCGTCCTGTGTGCGCTTTTTTATTGTTGAACATTAAATATATAGAACGGAAATTGACCTTCGTCGACACGATGATATATTCTTGAAAATGAATAGACACTTTATCGCACATCAGCAAAAAATCACCCGAAGAAGAAAAACCACCGCCGAAAAAAACTTAATAAATATTTGATGTTCCTTGAAAAGTGTGCGGTTTTTTCACGCCGAGGGAAAGACAACTGACTGCGCGCGTTTAATTAAAATATTTGCTATTAATTAAAAAAATAACGCGCTACATATAATTAAAGTTCCGTGGCGCGCAGCAGGCGACATCGTATTTTTTATTGATTTCATTAAAATGTGGCAGTAGGGACAGGGACGAGATTTTCACATGCCACTTTTCACATTTCGCTTCAGTCTCTTGTTTTTAAGAAGTTTTCCCAACGCGCGCGTATTATGCGCGCCGCGGTCATAAGCTAAGCAGAATAAACACGCCGTTGTTGTTTGATCGCATAAATTTGATTTAAAAAGTATTCCCGTGTTTATCTAATATTTGAATTGAAAATTTTTCGGGTTCGCTGCGACCGCCCGCAGAGCTCGTATTCACTCTCGTACCGGTGAATATTCGGGAACGTGCCGAAACTCCATTCGATGAATTTCCACGCGCGACCCGAGTTTCGGGTATTTACTAATGGCGGAACTTTCTTTCGGGGCGAAATCCTCCTTCTACCGAGCCGTTACTGAAACACACGCCGCACACCGAAAAATTGAAAAAGTGGGCAAACCGAAATTAAAAAGCGCACATCTTGTCGGATTCCGGTTGCAGATCGAAGATTAAACAAGCGGGAAGAGCTCGTCGGCGTCGTTGCTGTCGCTTAACGGCGCCGGCGAACGAGATTAGTCGTCGTCGGGCGGCAGCGGCGGCGGCGTCGCGCACGCCGGGATTAATTTGTTTTGAGACACTCAGTTAAAATTTGATTCTTCTCGAAATTGCAGAGCCGCAGGAGAAAGACCCGAGCATTACGTTCGACAAGAACACGTACCAAGTCGGGGACGTATTGCAGGCCAACTGTACGACGGCGCCCGCCCGCCCACCGCCGCACATTACGTGGCTAATCAATGGAGTGAAGGTATAATCGCGCCCGCAACTTATACGTGCACTTACCTAACATAATCCCGCCAGCGCCGAAAACGCCGAGAGGGGACAAACTCTCCCAGCTAATTCGCATCGATTTTCCGTAATAGTTTTCGCCCGCACCCGCCGCCGCCGCCGCCGGCGGATCTTGTTTGCAAATTTAAGTGCAGTATGCGTGTAGAGAAAAAAAAAACACGCGCGCCGATGGGGCGTGTGTGGAGTTGCAGGCGAAAACGATATTCTGATAGGCATTAATTCATTAACGCTTGTATCTGCCGCCGCCGGACGCCCGGCAATTTGTTCCGCCAACGCATCGATTTTCAATTAAGGTAATTCGCTTTGTTTGCGCCGGGCTTATTGTTTATCTAGGTGGACGAGTCGCTGACGCGCGCGTTCTCCAACGGAAGGATACACGGCCACGGCTATTATGAGCACCGGTCGCCGTCGATGAAACAATTGTCCATCGAGGTGTCGGAACTGCACGCCGGGGACAACGGCGAGCTATGGCTGACGTGCATGTCGACGATTCCCGGCTACATCGGACCCAAGGAGAAGTACGCCGACGAGCGTCGGCATTCGATCCGAAGTAAGTGCGCACATAAATTACCAATCAACCCAAGTAGCCCGTATTTATTCACCCACCCACCGAATCGAAAGAATCGCTGACTTTAATTAGTCAGTGTGGTGTGTCACAAACTCAAAACTCAGTGCATTCGATTCGTCGCGCGCACATAAACTGCAAAGACGTCCCTTTTGTTTCAGTCGAAGTTGTAATGACCGAGATACCAGCTGAGATAAAATCGTCCGACAACAATCTCGTCGAAAACATAACATCGAACCGACAACCGCAATTGCACCCGGATCATCGATCGCACTTCCTGCTTATTTCCGGCTGGCTGGTGTGCAACCTGCTCTTCAACGCGAAAACATAATCTCGAATAAGTTAGGCTTGCATTTTATACACACTATTACACCCACACAGCCACGTCGCAGTGACAACAATTTGTAGAAACTTGTAAGCCCCGCACACGCAGAGCAGGGGCATACACGAAAATCTATGAGCATAAAAATACACGCGCGAAACTTGCGCTTCGAATCAAACTTCGCGAAGCATGCAAATTTCCAAACGCAAAGTCTATGAAAATATTTGAAGAAAAAAAAAACACAGAAAAAAATTATGGAGATATATTCTTGTAAAACGTAAAGAATAACAGAGGAGATATTAAAATTCGCGTCGCGCGACCATCGCGCACCGAATTCGCCGCTGTGGTGAGCGAGAGATAAATGTTTTATATTTATTAACGACTTATTACTAAAAATGATTGTCTGAATTGACGTTCTTATGATAAAGATAACTGAGCATGATAACGCATTATAATATATTAATGTAAGAATACTAGTCGACGATGTTGTTAATGGTAATCATGGATAATTGAGTGTTTCCATAATAATTTCATGTAAATAACCAGCGAGATCTGCGAGCGGCAAGAAGGGGGAGAGAAAGAAGATCCCTGCGACTCGATACGATGTATTTAAATAAATCAGGTGTGAGTAAAACATGATTTAGTGCTTTCCACTTCAAAATTCAAAGAAAAAAATAACGTAATATGCTCTCTGAGAAGCCGTAGAGGGCGCGGAAGACGATAGAACTAAGGCCAGATTATTTTCATAAGCTTCATAAGAAATCCTGAAGAGTGAAACATTGAAACTATATTTTTTGAAGCAATACATGAATAATTATGCATAAATTATCAAAAAACTTTTTGAAGTATGAAAAGTGGCACTTTAATCACGGACGACCAAAGCCGTGCTAAAGTACTAAAGTAATAGTATATCAAGTATCAAGTGGCTAAACGTGAGTTTTTGTCACGAGATTGATTAAGTGCCAGCGTAGCAAGCGTTTAATCAATCGAGTGTTTAACAACGTTTAGCCACATGATGCTTAAGCTATTTTTTCTACTTTCACTCTATTTCCACGTTGAGATTTTGGATTTAAACTTTTTTTATTAAATCTCGAAAATTCGTTTGCCCACTACTGAGAAATGCTCCACCCCGTGACTAAAGCCTGTGACTAAAGTACTTTAATCACCGCTTTGGCTATCAGTGTTTAAAATACCACTTTTCGTATCTAAAAACCGTGAAAAAACTAACACTTTAAAGGCAAAAGTAAAAAATAAATTATTAAATGTTTCAAAACAATGTAGTTTCGACATTTCACTCCAAATAATTATTTTTTAAGGCCTTAGAAGTGTGGCTAAATAGATGCTTGTGTAAAATTGGCTTGCTATGATACACACTATACATAAATGTAACAACAGCCGCGTAGTAAAGCAACAATTGCCGCAGATAAACCAAGAAAAATACAAGTATAAACACTATGATACATAAATTTATGTAGCGCAGCAGGGTAAACCCACAATTTAAGAATCTATATATCGTAAAATGTAAAAAAGAATAAGTATAAAATGACGAGATTCTAATTTTTGACTCAATCTACTGTTTACTATATCTCTACGAAGAAATGAAGATGAAATTTTAACAATAATCTATTTATCACCACCTTCACGAAAATCAATAAGGCAATGCTTTCCATGCGATTGCGATACCGATATTGCGTATTAGTGTTGAAATCGTGAACGATCCCGAGAGCTTTCGCCGGCTTTCCGAAATCAGCAACATGATGAGAAGCAGCATAACCAAAATGAATTTAACGATGTCAATGTAATTATGAAAATCATGTCAATTAATACGCAAATAATTCCACGTTATTTCATTCTACGTTATTCGCCAGCTGGGTTTCCGCATTGCGTTGGTTTTCATGCGACCATAAACCCAAAGAACAAAAGGAAATTGATAACAATCACCGAACGATACAATCATTTTTCAACCGGCGCCGATCGGTTCTGAAGAGTCTCAATTTGAAAGCGAAGCCCTATATTTTCATAACAAAATCTTCGTAGGTATTATTTACAGGCGTGTGCGGCATGTAGGTAGGATATTTGGGAGGCGCTCGAATTTAGATTTGCACGAAATTGTCAACTCCCACAGCCACCCGGACGTAAAACGACCGCAATACAATCACAATGAGATTAACTTTTGACGATTTTGGTTTTGAGTCTTTTTATCCGGCTGAGTTTACGTTTTGCGTTTGGTCATCGATGGTCAAGATCTTATCACTGTTTGTACGTATTTATCTGTACCTAAACTAAAGTCAATATCATGTCCCTAGAACTCGTGTTTGCCCTCGAACAATCTTGAATTTTGCCACTTTGTACATACTCTTCGACGGGGACGCGAGCATCGCAGATCGAGAGAAACGGATCAAAAAATAAAACATAAAAAAAAACAAAGCGGAATGAGAGTCAATAGCGAATTAATGGATTTAGGTATAATTATATACATATAATCCAACATACATAAATAATGTTACATTAATTAATATACGCCTGCTAAATGGCCAAAAATGTCTTCCTTAAATAATAAATGTAGTGTTAATATTAATATATAAATATAATTAATTACGATGTTTACTATTGGGGGGCGGCGAGCGACAAAGGACGCGCGAGGCACGAGAGGCCGGAAGGTCGACAGCCGTTAAACAATACAAAAAAGAGAATGAGAATGATTTGAATTAATGAATCGGCGGAGACACAACGCACAATGTCGCATCGCAGCGCGCGGAGCGAAAATTCTTCCGACGGCCGCCCAATATGACAAATCGAACGACAACACACGCGTTAACATACCACTGAAGAAAGAAAATTGTGCGCGTCATACGCCGGTGTTTTATCGATCATTAAACCTAGCGCTCGTTTTTCTAAAAAACAAGAAACACGAGTTGGTGGTGGAGGCGCCAGCCCACGCAGCATGCGGTATTGTGCAAAAAGGGAGCAACTAATTGTCACTTCAAGCTCGTAATCCGTAATCACTCAATTATAAAGAAAGCTGACCTAAATAAGCCACTGCATGTGAGGCGGAAATGCGACGGGGTCAAAGCAGTTTTTGCCACTTCAAATGTTATTCGGGACTGCATACTTAGAGAAAAATTGTAAAATTAGTGAAAAACTATCAATATTCATATTTCAAATTGCCAAAATATGTATTTCCGTGGACTTCCAATAGATAGAATAGCATAAATTTTAACGATTTAAAAGAAAATGCAAACAAGGAACGAGGGAGATTGCCATTTTATCGATTTGCAAAACCAAAAGTTATCCATTAATCAGGCGAACTCAACACGTTTTTTATTATTGACACAGTTCATCGCGCAGTGTGTGCACATCGAGTGTGTTATAAATATGCAACAGCATATGCATGACAAGTGTCAGTTCGGGCAACTCCGAAACAATTTCGAAAATCAGTCATGTGTCGCGCTGGTGCAGCGCCCGCCGCGTGTCCGATAAGTTGGACGCGTTCGCCGGAACGCCGGTGACATGTTACAAACTTTCGATGTGGTGCCGGGCGTTCGGTTTACAAAAGCAAAAGTTGCGCCCGCGCTGCCACATAATTGACTTTGCGCATCAAAATATTGTGCGCGCCCGGTCATATCTCCATCAACTGCACGATTTACACCGCCGGAAAATACAATACGCACTCGACACTCACCGCACAATTTGTTTCGCTGATGATGATCACTATTTATCTTTTATGTTGAAAAAATATCGCGCGTTTGGTTTGGAACGTGGAGGAAAACGAAACTAAGTATCTAAGCTCGTAGCATTGACAATAACTTGCTTTAAATGTTACATTTAAATGTAAACAAAACAAAAAACAAAGAAGATATTAACACAAGCGTTCATCGAATCAAAGAATCAATGAAAATCGACCTCAGCAACCCGCTAAAATTCACTAAAACCATCTGAGTACGTTGCGCATGCGTAGAACAAATTAGAAGGCGTACCAACTGCGCGTACCTAGCAAAACACAACAATCCGGAAGTTAACTAAACGCGAATTAAGTGAAACTTCGAAACCTGAGGCGGGTTCATAAGCGTTTCAAGGACTTCAACCAAACTATACCAACTAATTGTTCCGTACGCCTATCAAAATAATAATTTCGTTTAATGTACAACTTATCGATCAGCATGTAGATGTCAAATTTGTATGTTAATCGTACTATAAACCAAGAAGTTAATTCTTTCGTCGATTTCGTTCCAATTCAAGTTTTCTACATGTACCTACGAACATAAAACTAAATTCGAATCGATTTGTTGCGGTCAATTTTCATAGTTTAACGCAATGTTTTCCCAAATGTAAATATGATGAAAATTATGCAATTATTGTTTCGAAATGAAGATTTAATGTATTAATGAACCGATCGCGGTTCGCATTCACGGCTAATCGAACCTACTGAAAGTGTAATTGAAGCGATAATTATTACGAATACAATTTTGATTGGACTCTGTTGCATTGCAGTGCAACAGCGTGCATATTGTATGACTTATTACTTATTAAAGATGTAAATGATGTACATTATACGTTTTTAATTATAATATATGTATGACTTCTATGCGTTTTCATTCAGAGTGTGTTTATTGTCTCAAATTTGAATTAAAAGGTGATGCTGGCGCCGCCGCCGCCGGAGGAAAATGGATATTATACGGTAAGTAGAAGAATATTTTCTTATTAAAAGTTTCGGGGAAGTTCGCGCATTCAAGCAGGAGTTATAAATTTATCTGGACAGGATAATGCGGTGGGCGTGTCGGGGTAACTCGAATGGGTGGAGCTCAGATTAGATAAAGTAGTTTATCTAGGATGCAATTTTATTTGCAACGGTTTTTATGTGGTTTTTAGGTTGGCCTATGCTTTGACTTGCTGGATAAGTACCAAACGCTAATGTATTGCCACAGCGGGGCTATTCTATGACTAAAAATGTTTATTTTTCTATTTCTGCCTTTAAATCGCCTGTTTTTTATGGTTTTGAAATACAAAAAGTGATACTTTAAACACGGATGACACAGGCCGTGACTAAAGTACTTTAGTACTTTTTAACGCTCGCTAGGCACGTTCTTAAACAATTTCCTACCAAAAAAACTCAAGAAAAAAGCTTGATATTGAACTATTTTAAGTTGTCCTATGCTTTGACTTGCTGTATAAGTACCGAACGCGGTTCTATTGCAAAAGTGACACTATACTATGACTAAAAATGTTAATTTTTCTACTTCCACCTTTAAAGCGCTGTTTTTCCACGGTTTTTAGACACCAAAAGCAATATTTTAAAAATGAGTTGTAAATGTCGTGACTAAAGTACTTTAGTCACAGGATAAAGCTTGTAAACGCTCCCTAAGCTCAATCTCAATCTATCCCATGACTAAAACTCCCGTTTGGCCCACTTGATACTTAATAAACTATTATCTAGCATAAAAAAAACTGTTTTTATATTTTTTTACGATGGCCTATGCTTTGACTTGCTGTATAAGTACCGAACATGCTTCTATTGCAATAGTAACACTATACAACGACTAAAATATGTATTCCTACCCGAATTTTGATCCTTTTGACATAAAATTGTGCAATAACGATTTGCGATCCGCTCAGATGCCCCGCTTTTCACCCCCATAGTGGTCTATCCTGGCGTTTTGAAGCGGAAACTTTCAGCATGCAGGCTTACACACACATGCGCCGAAGAAAGTTTCGGTTACCGAAGGCAAGCGGGTGAAAAGGCAAGCGACCGCTTGCACCTCGTGCACACGTAGCCGCCGCTGCCGCCGCCGTCATCTTCCCGCCAACCTCACGCGCGGCGCGAGGAGGAGGAGGCGCAGGAATAGTGGTCGCGACGGCGAAACGAATTGCCGTGGTGGAGAGGCGGCGGCGGCGGCGGACGAATTAGGCGGGGTGCGAGACGAGGAGGAGCGCGATGCCGGCGCCGCACTGCTCGAGTTAAAGAGTAAGAAGTAAGAAGTTGGAGTTTCGGACCCGCTGAATAAAACTTCTTTAATTAAATTTTAGTAAAACCGAGCGAGCGAGCGACGCAATGCAAGTTGGTTGCGTAGAGCAAAAGCAGGGTGACGCTTGCGATGGAAGGAGAAGAACCGCTCGCTTCTCGCACTGCTTCCCGCCGCCGCCCCCATGCTATCGCCGAAGACAATACGTTCAAGGCTAACATTTTTAATAATTCAAGCTCGGCGAACTCTCCCTTTTTTGTAATTGTCCCAGAAAAATGTTTTCATAAAAATCTCATAAAATTAAAAAATCGCGTCGCGTGTTTGCGCCGGAAA